GCCGGCCAACTTCTCTCTCCATCATTTCTAGGAACACCAAAGTAGAATTTACTGTGCTTCCTGTAATATTCTTCTTTAAAGCATATCATGTGAGATGTACTAGTTCCTTTAGAATGTACTAAATTGCCCTTTAGATGATTTGTGACATGTCTCTATTCTTTTAACAAGGGTTATTTTAAAGCTACAGTTTTATCACATGTACATCATTTTTGGAAGAAAAATGTTCTGTTTCAGAGTCTAGATCCTTCCTGTAGGTCACATTTCTTCAGTTCTCAGGAGGAGATAACCAATTAAGCATTGAGAATTGAAAGTGATTGAGGCCCATATATGACTTTATTTAAAATATCAATGGGATAATTAATGTTATTATCCAATGCTATCTTGTAATTGTTACCTAATTATGCCCACTTTTGGGACTCCAGAATACTTGACTTAATTACTTGCAAAAATAGCAACTAGAATATCACCTAGCACTTTGCACGTGCTATAGTATCAATGGTTTTCCAGTGCAGTGCCCCAGGCATGTTAGTTAACCTTTGATTGATATATTCCTTTATTAAATGAACATTTTAAGAACCAGCTGCTATAAGATTATTTCTTTGTTGCTTTGTATGTCCCTCCCCCATGGCATAACCCCTGCTTTCACTGTATTTGATGTTGTTATAATTTGTGGAGGGGAAGGGAAAAAAACAAATCGTTTAAATAGGGATACAGGTGGACCCATTGCAACAATGAGACGCACAAGTTGTTATGTCGAAAACGAACTTTACAACTTTGGTGGGGGGGGGGGAGAAGAGGGGGGCAGGGGGGAGTATGGGATGAGAAGGAGAAACAAAGGAGGAGGCTACAATGCTTGATAAGAAATGTACTCATTATCTTGCCCATGTAATTGTAACCCCTCTGTACAGTATTTTCACAATAAAAAAAAAGAACCAGCTGCTATCTTAATGGATACTGAGAATATACATACAGCAACAAAAAAGTCAAAATCCATGTTCTTGTCCTGTTGGTATCTAGTAAGATCTAGTAGCATTGCCAAACAATAGACAAATATGCAAAGAAGATAATTAGGATGTGAAAAATAATGTGGCAGAAGTGAGGCAAGGTAAGGATGGTAATATTTTTGTAAGGTTATAAGGGAAAGACCTCTTTACACATCATTTAAATAAACTCCTGTAGATAGCAATGAGCTAAGAATGCAAAGACTATCAAAGCCTGAATGCTGGGGTGTTATCAATAAGTTTAAATATAAAATGACTTAATCTGGGTTGGGTATGGATAATACACATTGAAGAACATTGTGTACATTTAAAAGGAAACATTTCAAGATCAGTTCCATGTACCACACCTTTCAAACACTACTTTCTGTGATACCAGCTGTTAGTGTTGAAGCTCTCAAAGCCAAAGATCTTGGGAGATGAAAATTGGCATAAGCCTTGGGTGCATGGGTCACCTATAAGAAGAAATAAAGGAAATCGTGTGGCTAAGGTGAGGTATTCCTCAACAAATGGTTCAGAACATGAGGTCTTACATCACAGCTGTATTTGGTTCAGAACATGTAGTCTCACATCACAGCCGTCGTTGGTCTGATTCATAGGGTTGTTGAAAGTTCAGTAGAACAGTTTTCGCAGCAGAAGGAATCTTTATGGGTTCTTGAACATAAAAGTTGCCTAGTTTAAAAAGAGAACATTTTAATCAGTTATGCATCACTAAAAAGCAAGAAATTCCTGGGAAGCTATATAGGAGGACCTTTTTTATAATCATTCATTTCATTGTACCTGGTGGTGAGATCATGATTTGTGCTCATCTCTGAGAATGAGCTACACACAAACCATTTCAGTTGAATTAATAGCATATGCTGACTGAAGGGCAATAAAGCAAATGTCAAAATGCCTGCTCCTAAGTTGAGAAGTTCAGACAATAGCAGCTATGGAAGGGGAAATGTTTTCCAGGGATATTAAATGATTGATCTAAGTTGGATGTGTTAAATTTCGCAAGACAGGAACTCTGAGCTGTGATGTTTGCACACAAGTAAAAGTGAAGACTAAAGCAAAAAGGGGAGAACTGAATTTGAGAATGCAAAAAGATGATGAAAACTGAAGCTAAGCTCTTGAAAATTAATGTTTCTGATTAAGAATGTCTGTATAAATGTGGGAGATGGAGGAGGTTTGGAGGGAAGAAGAAACAGAGACAGAGCAAGTGAGGAAAGGAAAAAAGGGAGAGGGGGAAAGGAGGAGGATGTGAGAGAAAGTAGGAACCCAAATAGGTAAAAAGTGCCAAAGAGCAGTCAAATGAAACTGAGAACAGGAAAGAATCTCAGACAGTAAATAGGGAAAGTTACTGGGGAAAATCTATTAACATTACCACCATAAAGACTGCAATTAACCTTTTAGAGAGATGACTATCTGGCCCTAAGTTCTGTAAATATAATAACATTTCTTTCCACTGCCTTAAAAAATAAATGCTGTTGTTATATCTTTTATAGACAAGGGAATTTAGGCACAGAGAGATTAAGCAATATGCCCAAAGATTACTCGCTTTAAAGAACTAAAGCTGAGATTCAAAAACAGGCATTGTGCCTTCAAAGCATGAGCCTTTAACTCTCCTGCCATATGCTTATATCCAAGATGATGTTTTAATTACATAGTTTGCCTACTGTCTTATATAAGTGTCTTGAAAAAGTTAATTAACAGTTTTAAAAGTTGGGTAAAAAACAGAAAGTCAACAGATGGCTGGGCAGTGATTGGATAAATCCTTACAGAAGACAACTTGTAATTCTCTAGAGGAAGATAGAGAAAAGAAAGGAAATACATACCTTTTGATCTTTGTGGTTTTTCTTCTTTCCCTGCAATCACTGTTGTTTATTGAGATAGAAAAATGCCCCCTTTGATGAGAATGACAATAGTAAATTGTGGAGTAAATGTCATTTCTATTACTTACAACTTTCTGTATATTACAAATGTATGTGTTGTCTATAAATATCTACAAGAATTGACTTTCAAGAATTTTATACTGAAACTCATTTTTTAACTTTCATTACTAAATGAGAGATTCTGAAAGAATAGGACTCGTGTGGTAGCATGTGTTGGTATTACTGGATAACCTTCAGTCTCAGAACCCAAGTATTTGGGGTTTTCCATAGAGGGGCTTGAGTCTCAGATCGAGGTATATACTGGATCTCTTCCCACTGGATAAAGCACACATGACTTCCTTGATAGCCACAGTAATGAATCCTTCCCCCCACTGGCTGAGGAAGCACTTTACTTCCGTTTTCTACCTTCCTTGAGTCTCCTCCACCCTTCCTCATTTCTCCAGTGTTTGAAACAAAGGCAGAGGAAAATAGTAAATTCCCAGTGCATCAGACTGACCCATACAGTTTGAAGGAGAAAGGACAAGTCACCTGATGGGCACTCTAGCTGTTGCCGAGAAATCAGTAACAGTCCTTTTTCCAACAATTAAGGGGGCACTTTTTCTTTGGACCTAAACTGTGAGTGGATATCATCAGATTGCTCTTCTTCTTCTGCCCAACTGACTTAATTGTTCAGAACTTTATTTTCCTAATCTTAACAGAATAAAATCCTTAACATTGCATTTCTGATTCTCCATGGCATGATTTGGGCCCAAGCTGTGGATGCCCATCCGGTTTTGTTGTTGTTGTTATTTCATGGTGTACTCACTTTATTTTCCATTATTGACAACAATGTCATGCAATAAAGTCTTTCCCCTTCCCACTGCAACAGCAAAATCAGATTCTGTATTGGTGTACCAAGGAGACTGAGCGGATCACAGTGTTTTTCTGTATATACACACTTGTGTTCAAGAGTATGTTCCATGTGCCCATAAAATTGGAACAATTGACACTATAAGCAACAAATTAAAAATTACTGTAACAAATTATTACAGTAACGTTACCTTAAAAATCTGTGCTTAGTGAAAGGAGAGAATGAGAGAAATGTGTTTTTGCTTCCTTCCTTCCTTTTCTTGTATTTTAATTTTATTGTCAAAGTGATGTACAAAGGGATTACAGGTACATAAGTAAGGTAGTGATTACATTTTCTGTCTAACTTGTTACCCTTCCCTCATTTTTCTCCCTCTTTCCCTCCCCTCCCAACCCCCCCTGAGTTGTCCAGACCATTTCCAACACACTGTCTTGTGAGTATCACTGTTGCATTGGTTCCCCATTCATCCTTTGTTTCACCATTTTGTTGTTCCCCTCCCCTTCCGTAACTCAGATAAATGTATATTTTTACCAGGACACTCTGTTTAATCAGACAGAACCCGTCTGCAGGGTCACCTCCCTTCATCTGTGCTTCTTAGACTGATCTTGGTCCTCTCTAGCCTGCAGTATTACTAGTCCTAGTTCAAAACTGCATATACTGCTCATCTGAATTCTGTCTCCATGTAGAGCCTTGCTGAGTCCATCTGAACTTAGGCTCTAGCTCTCATTTTGTCTGTGTTATAGGCATGTTTTGCACATACTGTTTTCACTACCACACTCTTCTTCTCCCATCTCACCTATACTTAATATCAGAGAAAGTTGAAGCTGCAAAACTGAGAATATGTCTTTTTAAAACGTTTGCTTGTGCCCTAATAAATAACAATGCTCTGAGTTATGGATAGGGATAAAGCAACATCTCGTTCTCAGTCCAAGACTTCTCCAGTAATAATGGTTATCCCTGATGTACATGTTGAAAATACCTAAATTGCCTGTGAGGCTCTTAAAAGCCTGATCAAGGGGCCTAGAACAATAGAAATTGAAATGTAGGGAGTGGAACCCAACCATTTGTAGTATTAAGATCTAAACCGCAACCAAGATTGGAAATAACTGCCCACAGCATAATGGTCCATGGACCAAGGATTACTTCATAGGTAATTCAATAAAGACACTTTTATTATTTCAGATAAAGAACTTGACAAGAAGAGTGATAAATGTGAGGTAATAGTATAGAGCATTTTATTTTCCTTGCAACAGTAGCTTACTTAACTGTTTAACTTTTCAGATATTTCGAAAGAAAGCAGTGGAACTTGGGGTAAAATTGCTACCTGCATTTCATACTCCCTCTGGAATACCTTGGGCATTGCTGAATATGAAAAGGTAAAACTCTTCATTTTCAACAACATATTTTAAGGTGAATTATTCAAGATTGTGTCCTAACAAGTACACACTGGGTGGATAATGCCAGTGTGAGGCTAGTGGCTGACCTATTGGTAGTCTTGGGAAGCTATCCTGTCTTGAGAAGCCATTAGCTTTTCAGTGTCCCATAGCTTGAGATGGGTCCCTTTACTGAGCTAGTATGATCCAATAGAAGCATACAAATCAGACATGATGTGAGCTTTTCACTATTACATGATGATGTTGGAAGTCAGTGGTACCATTCCTCTCCATAAATACCAAGAGAATACCTTTGTCTTCTGATTTGTCACAACAGTGTTTCACAAGGAAGCAATTTCCTATGACCATTTAGTTCAGTTAAGTTACTGGAGTTACTGCAGAGCTAGAACACTTGAACTGATCAGAACCCACAGAAGAAGAGCTAAGAGTGCGAGTACTAACAACCCTGCCCATGGTTGTTAGAAAGAAGGAAACTGATCCACTCAACCTTCCCCTCCATGCTTAGTGCAGAAATCTAGTATCCTGGAGTCCATTAGAATGTAGGCTCAATAAGAAAAAAAATGTAAGGTGAATGAACTTTCTGGCGTTCTCCCAAGAATATGTTTGAATCTTCATAAAAGCTTGAGCATTTCACTAATAAAATTTTGTACTCAGCTTCCTTCTTAACTCCTTTCTCCTCACAAATTATTTATGGTAGCCAGGTACCGGTGGCTCATGTGCATTATCTTAGATACTCAGGAGCCTGAGATTTGAGGATCATTGTTCAAAGCCAACCCAGGCAGGAAAGTCCATGAGACTCTTCCTCCAATTCAGCATCAAAAATATGGAAGTGGAGCTGTGGCTCAAGTGGTAGAGTACTAGCCTTAAGCACAGAATTTCAGGGACAGCACCCAGGCACTGAGTTCAGGCCCCAGAACCAGCCCACACACAAAAAAAATGATTGTTATTTGGGCCTTTTTTCAATAATGATGAGACTGGATATAGTTCTAATGTTCATCCATATAATGCATAGGTTCTTTACATGTATTAATGCATATACTCTCACAGCACCTCATCAGTAAGATCAATATCATTGTTATCCTCATTTTATTCTTAGGAAACTAGAGCCAAAGAGAGATTAAGTTGCCTAACATCATTCAGGAAGTAAATAGGAGAGCTAGCATATATGCTTAGATGTTTATTTGAATAGCCACAGATGAAATGCCTTTCTTGTTTTAGAAACACCAAAAGTATAAGTAAGATAGTTTTCCAGAATTAGTACACTTTTCTTCTTCTTCATTTTAGTGAGATTCTGTCCTAAAATTAATCATGAAAAATCATAGAAATTGATGGTTTTCCTTTAATAAATAAAAGCATAGAATGTCCTTGTTTTTTTTTTTTTTCATTTGTCTGCTATATACCTTTACTTTGAACTCACTCTGTACCTGTCTATTAGTGCACATGTCTCGAGATGGCAGAGGAATAGAGAGAGTTGTACCACCACCAGGCCATGTTAAATTGTATAATATGATGACTCAGGATCTTCTTCCAGGAAGACTTCCAGTAAGTCTTCCAAGTCTTTCTTTATCAGCTTGCAAATCTCTGCATACACTGCAGAGATGATTTTGGTTTGGGGGGAGGGGAGGTTTGTTTGGGTTTTTTTGTTGTTGTTGTTTTTTCTTTCTTATTTTTTTTATTTTTTATTTTTGCCAGTCCTGTGGCTTGAACTTGGCTTAGGAACTGTTCATGAACGTCTTTTACTCAAGGTGCACTCTGCCACTTTTAGCCACAACACCACTTCCAACTTTTTCTGTTTAAGTGGTACTGAGGAATCAAACCCAGGGCTTCATGCATGCTAGGCAAGCACTCCACCACTAAACCACATTCCCAGCCCCACTGCAAGGTTTTAAGGCTGAATTGCTGATGATGGCTTGGATATTTTTTGGAGGCCCTGTGAGTTTTCACCTTTCATTCTCATAGGCCTTCTCTTTTACTTCCCTTATCTTTAGACTTTGTATTTATTTATAGATAGCATTCTGATGGAGATAGTGCTCTCTTACCTAACCTAATAAGATCTGGTCACAAAAACATTACAGACAATTAACTCATTTTTCCACACTTTCTATCAGAGAAAACAAATGTGATACTATTATGGTCATGGCAATACATTCAATTAATTGGTTCTCAAGTGCATGTTTTTAGAGTTTTTACAGCAACTTAAGATTTGTTTTTGGAACCATCATTTAAACTCTCCAAGCTTAGCTCTAAATTGGGAGGCAGGCTGGCTCAGTAGTTCTTATGTGGGCCCACTCCTTTGCATAAATCAATTTAGTTATTGTGAAATGGTGATATCATCTAGTTTTGGTCTCACTTGGAATAAGCATAAGAATAGGCTAATTGTATTTTTACTAAATGTTTATTTCTTACTGTCAAATGAACTTTTCCTTGGTGAATTTCATTCTTAGTGTACTGTGGAATATTTTTTAGTACATAAAGGAATATTTGCTTATTAATTGATTGGAAAATGATCAATGACAGCATCCATTGTTATTGTATCTTATTTATTCCATTAGAATTGTGTGTTTAAGTTCAAAGATTATAATAGTTATATCAGGTGAAAAATGATGATCACTTTCCAGTATGTATTATGTGATATTTTCATATTAAACTAGTAGAGATTATGTAATTATCTGGCATCTTATGTGAACACTTTGAATTTCTTCCTGGAAATTGGCACCATTTTTATTATATATTTTATTCACTCTCCTTCCAGCTTATCAAATGGCAGTGACATACCCAAATTTGCAAACAACCATCGCCAAAATTAGTAGTAATGTTCATCCACCAAAACTCATCCTATTCCTTTGCCCAATCATATATATTCATTGGATGTAATCTCCAGTGGGCTGCGAAGCTGGCTTATCATCTAAAGTTTTTTTCCTATAGGGGAAGAAAATATTTCCTTCTAATCTGTAGTATTAATTTTCATTCTTATCTACAATATTGATTTTAATCCTTATAGTTTTTATTTTCAAGATGAACTGCTGGACCCATGATCTCTGTATTTTCACAGTAAAACTCAAGGAATAGAGGAATACAGGCATGGAGTATTTCTCTAATTTTTTGAAGGCTGTCAGTAGGGAAAGTTTCAAAGAGAAAGGGAAAAGATATCTAGCAAATCCTATTTTCTTAATTACCTTCTCAAAATAAGAGAATGTTTATGGAAGGATGAGAGGTGGGGCTGCACACACTTTTTAGACACTCTTGACTTGCTTTGCAACAACATTATGATCCAAGAGGCACTGAATGTGCTTGCTGAAATGTCATCATTTTGCTCTTTCTTCTCTATTTCAAAAATAGTTGTGAATGCTGCTCTTTGAGAACATCTATATGTTAACACAAATATGAACTTGCTGGTCTTATCTGTTCACATTCCTCTAGTTGTCAGGTTGTTGTCCAAAAATAATTGGTTTCTTTACTATTTCTTGGTGAAAATAAGCATTTATTTGAGTCCCTGCTGAGATGATGGTTCCATTGTAAGGTCTGAGAAACTTGTCTATTTCTTTTCACTTTATTCAGAAGGTAACAGGGAAATTCTTTCTCTCAAGAAACTCATAGTCTTGTTGGTAAAATATACATGCTATTATGTTATACCATGTTATACACACATGTAGCTGATGGAGGAGCAGGTGTGCTGAGGAATGATAATGCTCACTGGGTTGAATTTAAAGTAAATGGTATTTTGAATCAGAAAGTTCATATATTTGGAGACAAAAATACCAATAAAATGGATTGGACTTCAGTAATTATATAAGCCACAAATATGCAGCACAACTTATGTATAAATATACATATACTACCTTAGAAAATATACAGAGAGCCTAAATAATTTATATGTGTGCTACCTTAGGAGCTCTGTACCAGAATCCATCCAGAGAAAAAGAACTTGTCTTTTCTGCCACCTCTGTAAGAAATTCCCAATTCAAGAGATACCATTTAGGTAGTAAGGAGTTAGAATTGTGACTTAATAGGGAGTAGTTATTTGATGGCCTAGGTGTTACAGACAAGCATGTTTGCTCACCAAGACAGTCATAAAATGAGGATCCCCCTCCTCCCATTATGTAGCATATCTGCTGAACGAAAACCACAGTCCTCCTAGGAGATTACATTTGGATATAACTCTATTTTTCTAATGTAAAAATGTCCAAATTTGATGTCTGATCTAGTTACTACTATTATTAGCAGGAGGACTTACATTTTTTTCCTCCAACTTGCAGCAGAAAAATTAAGCATTTCACCATTTCTATATTTTTAGGAATAGCTTAAGCCTAGGTGTAACATGGACTAAAATAATGTAGTTAATGTTCCCATTATTCATTTCTATCATGAGGCATGCAGTCTGAGCATTCCTAATAATTATTCTGTCCTTCTTGATAAATAAGTTTGTTTTAGTTGTATATTATTTTATCACTTATTTCTTTTCGTGGATTTTTCTGAACTGATACTTGCCTAGTGGTTACATTAACTCAGTGGAACTGTCTACAATTTGAGCTTTTATTGTGAACCAGCAGAAGATATGCTGAGACCTGTCTGATCTCCATGCAGGCTCTCATTAGCCAGCCAGGTGAGAATGAGGTACAACTCTGTCACCTGGTTTTAAACTTGGTAAAGCTTTATTTGCTGGCTGTTCTAATTAGCTGAGAAAAATGCATATTGTCATTGGTTACATTGCAATTCTTATTTTAATTAAATTGAAAATCCCTTTACCTGTAAAAGAGCCTTAATTAAGAACAGTACAGATATCACTTGATGTTTTCTCATGATTTTCTTTCTCTTAGTCCCCAGACATTTCTTATGTGAACCATGTACTATGTATATTTTAGCAAAAGGTGATGGATGACGCCTTGTATTGAGTTTCATAATGTTGATGGTATAAAATGCTGAAAATTAAAGTGTTGGTTAGCTTTAAAATGTACTTGGTTGGTTGTAACAGACACAAACTA